CTACAAACAACTCTATGCACATAAACCAGTAAACCTGGAAGAAATGGATAAATTCCTGGACACTTGCACCCTCCCAAGCCTAAACCAGGAAGGATTTGAAACCCTCAATAGACCAATAACAAGAGCTGAAGTTGAGGCAGCAATTAATAGCCTGCCAACCAAAAAAAAAACCCAAGTCCATATGGGTTCACAACCAAATTCTACCAGACATACAAAGAGGAGCTGGTACCACTCCTTCTGAAACATTGCAGCACTGTTTACAATAGCAAAGACCTGGAACCAACCCAAATGTCCATCGATGATAGACTGGACGAAGAAAATGTGGCACATATACACCATGGAATACTATGCAACCATAAAAAACGATGAGTTTGTGTCCTTTGTAGGGACACGGATGAATCTGGAAACCATCTTTCTCAGCAAACTGACACAAGAACAGAAAATTAAACACCACATGTTCTCTCTCATAGACGAGTGCTGAACAATGAGAACACATGGACACATAGAGGGGAGCATCATACACTGGTGTCTGTTGGAGGAGACTAGAGGAGGGACAGTGGGGGGAAGGAGTTGAGGAGGGATAACATGGGGAGAAATGTCAGATATAGATGACGGTGATGGAGACAGCAAACCACATTGCCATGTTTGTAGCTATGCAACAATGCTGCATGTTCTGCACATGTACCCCAGATCCTAAAGTGCAATAAAATATATTTTTTTAAAAAAATAGGGTTATAAATATATATTATAAAACAATTATCTTATGGTTGAACTCCACAACTATGGAAAAAGACAAAGAAAAAAAAACAAAAACAAAAACAAGAGTGAGGGAATTTGGAGGAATTGCCCAGCGTGGCCCTGAGGCTACCTCCTTTCAAGATTTATACACACTTAAACATCAGGAACCTCACAGGTTTGAATATTAGCCTTAATTTCCTCATTAAGCAATAACTTCTCTAGAGCACAATGATAGATTATATTTTATTCTGATTTTAGCTTAGTAAATTGTCTTAAAATATATTATCAATAATCTAGTACAGCAAATTTTTGTACCCAAACCAGATATATATATACACACACACACATACATACATACATATACATTTATATATATCTTCTGCAATTTCTTGAATCATCTTCATGGTTTTGATTTTGTCAAATTGTCTTTTTGACTTTTCACAACTTAAGAGTCAGGACATTTTTCATTTTATCTTTTGGCTCTGTTGCACACAACTTTGCTCTGAGAATCCCTGAAAGCTTCTCACTGCCGCCTGGAGTTTGATGAACTCCTTAAGTTCCATCCAGTCTCCAGATTTATATGCACACACTCATAAACACACACTCTCTCTCACACAAACACTCACACACACACTCACTGTCTCACACATACACACACACTCTCACACATACACTCACACATTCACTGTCACACACACACACTCACTGTCTCACACATACACTCACACTCACTGTCTCACACACACTCACAGTCTCACACATACATTCATACACACTCACACTCAGTGTCTCACACATACACTCACACAGACTCTCACACACACTCACTGTCTCTCATACACACACACACACACACACACACACAGAGAGCCCACAACAGTGCTGTCAATGCCCAAGCCATCCCTCAAACTGCTGGACAGCACTGATCCATGTTCCATAGGATTCTGTGGCAACAGCTTCTCTTCCTTGAAGCTCTCTTCAACTACAGTTCACAAAGCTTCCTCCCTCCTTTATTTTTATATTTAACACTTTTAGCTCCATCCATGTCCCTGAAAAGGATAAGATCTTGTTCATTTTTACGGCTGCATAGTATTCCATGGTATATATGTACCACATTTTTCTTTATCCAGTCTATCATTGGTGGGCATTTAGGTTGGTTCCATGTCTTTGGAGCTGCAGGCCATTATCCTTAGCAAGCTAGTGCAGGAACAGAAAACCAAATACCTAAGACATGTCATCACTTATAAATGGGAGCTAAATATGAGAACGTATGGACACATAAAGAGGAACAACACACACTGGGGCTTATTGAAGGGTGGAGGGTGGGAGGAGGGAGAGGATCAGAAAGAATAATTAATGTGCACTAGGCTTAATACCTGGATGATGAAATAATCTGTACAACAAACTTCCTGGCACAAGTTTATCCATGTAACAAATCTACACATGTATCCCTGAACTTGAAATGAAAGTTAAAAAAGAGGCCAGGCACGGTGGTTCAAGCCTGTGATCCCAGCACTTTGGGAGGCTGAGGTGGGCAGATCACTTGAGGTCAGGAGTTTGAGATAAGCCGGGCTAACACAGTGAATACCCATCCCTGTTAAAAATACAAAAATTAGCCAGGCGTGGTGGTACATACCTGTAGTCCCAGCTACTAGGGAGACAGAGGTGGGAGAATCACTTGAACCTGGGAGGCAGGGATTGCAGTGAGCCAAGATTGGGCCACTGCCTGGGTGACACAGTGAAACCTTGTCTCAATTAATAAATAAATAAAAATAACACTTTTCTGAACAATCAACAGCTCATTTTATAATATAACTAAATTGGATTACTCAGTTTGTCTCTTTATTAGTTTATATTAACTTTGTTGTTTTTTTTTTAAAGATTTTGTTAACTTGTACTTATCTATGTCATGATTTCCTAATGAAATGGACAACTAAGAAATCATATTTATACTGTTCTTATTCCTTATTCCCAATGGACATAAAATAAGCACAGTAAATGTTTTCAGGTTAATTAATGCTCTCCTTCTAAGAAAGCCTGTTGGTGAGTTTATTGGTTTCATTGGTTTCATGTACAGTCATTGATAACATTTGTAACATTCTGTATCATGATCAGCTGGCTTAGATAGCACCAGTTCCTCACAATCTGTACCATGTTGAGATGGGTATATACTGTATGTTAACCTTACTTCTCTTTATTTTCAGCTTTGAACTATAACTCTGTATCAATAAGTACAAAAGCAAAGAATCTAAACATAAACTTCTTACAAGAAACAAGACTTCGGCCGGGCACAGTGGCTTACGCCTGTAATCCCAGTACTTTGGGAGGCCAAGGCAGACAGATCACGTGAGGTCGGGAGTTTGAGACCAGCTTGGCCAACACAGCAAAACCCCATGTCTACTAAAAATACAAAAATTAGCCTGGCATGGTGGTTCATGCTTGTTATCTCAGAGACTTGGGAGGCTGAGACAGGAGAATCGCTTGAACTGGGGGGGCAGAGGTTGCAGAGAGCTGAAATCATGCCATTGCACTCCAGCCTGGGTGACAGTGAGACTCCATCTCAACCATCATTCTCAGCAAACTGACACAAGAACAGAAAACCAAACACTGCATGTTCTCACTCACAAGTGTGCGTTGAACAATGAGAAAACATGGACGCAGGAAGGGGAACATTACACACCAGGGCCTATTGGGGGTTGGGGAGTTAGGAGAGGGATAGCCGGGGATGGGGGGATTGGGGAGGGATAACATTAGGAGAAATACCTAAGGTAGATGATGGGGGTGGATGCAGCAAACCACCACGGCACGTGTATACCTGTGTAACAATCCCGCACGATCTGCACATGTACCCCAGAGCTTAAAGTATAATTTTAAAAAATGTACATGTGCATCAACAGAAAATGCATAATGATAAATTTATAAAGTGGAATACAATACAACAATCAAAACGAATAAACTAGAACTACACATATCAAAATGGATGATGTCAAAGAAATGTTTACTGACAAATAAAAACAGAAAAAATGATTAATCTTAACACACATACATTCAACGTGTGTGTGTGTGTATAAGTGTGCAAGATGAGAAGAGAAAGGAAGAGAGACAATAAGTCCAAAAAAAGATAAACCGTAAAAGAAACCCAGTAAGTTGCTCAACAAAAAAGCAAGGCCACAAATGTGAAATATGAAATGAATTGTAAATTATTTTGAGGTTAAAGCTATACCAAGTTGAATCCTGTAAATTTCAATTCAAATTGTTTAAGACTTTGAAAATTCACAATGTGGAATACATTTTTAAACTTAAAATTTTTCTTTATGTGAATGAGGAAAAATGGATATTTGGGTGATATTTAGTTATACTACATAAAAAAATATATTTATACCTGTGTTTAACCATTCATTTTTTGGTTACTGTAGAACCCAAATAGCTTTATACTAATAGGAACCAAAGTGAGCCCAGTGATCTGTAAAATAATAGATGGCGATTGCTGCAGTGAAACCTCACCCAAATTCATGCCGTCAATATTACATTTTTGTATGCTTTAATTTCAAGAGAAATGCAAAAACCAGAAGAAATTAAACTTGTCAGTTATTAGTTGACTAAAGCTGATTACGCCGTCAGGATGTGTCCTCTGATCTGCACATAGTGCAATGCAGTCAGGTTTCGGCATCTCTTGGGTTATGCTGTGATAAAATTATAGAATAATTCTCATCAGGTGTTATAAAATCACTGTCAAGTGACTCCATTCTGGCATGTAGTTTGCAGGGAGGCAGATTTCATAAAGTCTCAAAAGAAAAAAAAATCAAGTAGGCAATATTGGCAGTAATTCAATGCATAAGGATACAAAACCTATCCACACCCTTAGTTTAACGGTAAACTCACATCGTGGGCCACTGCCATGGGGATAATCTAGACCTGACTTCACCAGCAGTAATGCTTGGATCAGGTCCACTGGGCTCCCTCTCCCCCAGCCTCCCACCTCTGTCAGCACCCAGCCACCACCACTGTCCTGGTGGCAGGCCATCTCACGCCTGCACAGCACCATGGAAGTAGCCTTTGCTTGGCCACCCTTCCGCCAATGCTCTCTGCTCTCCTATGTGCTGCTGCCAAAATACTGCATTGATTGCAAAAATAGAGATGATCATTTTAACACACAAATCTTCAATTCAATTCCATCTGAATTTGAATTCAAATCCTTCCATAATCTGCTGCTTATCCCATTTTTATTGATGATTTTTTGTTTATTTATTTTGAGATAGGACCTTGCTTCTGTCACCCAGGATGGAATGCAGTGGCACAAACGTGGTTCTCTGCAACCTCAACCTCCCAGGCTCAAGCAATTCTCCCATCTCAGCCTCCTGAGTAGCTGGGACCACAAGTGCATGCCACCATGCCCAGCTAACTTTTTAAAAAATGTTTTTGTAGAGATTGGGTCTCATCACATTACCCAGGTTGGTCTTGAGCTCCTGGACTCAAGCAATCTTCCCACTTTGGCTCCGTCAAAGTGCTGGGATAACAGACATGAGCCACCTCACCTGGCCCCTATCCCATTTTTAGATGTGTCTTCCACCATGACTTTGCACAGAAGCTTAATGGAATTCAGCGTCTCTCCCTCCACACCCATAGACTTCCCTCCTTTTCCTCTTTCCTCCTGCCAATCTTCTCACTGCCCACCTTGCCCAGTCAAAAGCATATACAACCTTAAAAGTGAAGTTTTGAAATCCCCTTCTCATTGAAGCCCTTTTTAAACAGGCTAACAAAAGTTGTTTTCTGCTTCCGTAAACACTACAGAGCTTTTTCCGCGTGTACGCCCTTTCTGAAGTTGTGAGCATGTCCTATTGTCCTGGAGACTTTGCCATCACCTACAAACGAGGAAGTTGTTTTGTTTCTTGGACGGCCCTTAATATAGTGGTTTTTACTCATTTATTCAACAAATATGGAGGGAGAAACTTCTAATAATTGAAAATACTACTATGGACAAAGCAAAATCCCTGCTTTCTTGGATGTTACAGTTTAGCGCATATACCATAGGTGTTCAGTAAACATTTTCTAAAATAAGTTAGAAATTTTAGAACCAAATGTTCTTGTATGCCCCAAAGTATATACAACATATCAGAAATTACATGGGTAGTCAACAAAGTTTTTTTTTAAGTAACGTGTTTTATTGTTATGTCCTTATATGGGTGGGGTCAGAGTTGGGAATTCTAGGGCATAATGCTTGTTGATCTTTCAATTAAAATACATGTGCAGACCTTCCAAATGAAGAAACTACTGTCGCACAGAGGTATACTGTCATTCCATCGGAAAAAAATAAAGAAGAATTGAAAAGACAGCAATGACATCAAGTCCCTAAGAGCCATACATTGTTTTAAACAACATTCATTAATTATTCAATCACTAAACTTCTTACTGGGCACCTGCAGCCTGTTAGTCACTCTTCTAGGTGAGTACAGTAGACAAAATGTGGGCTTCCCCAGTTGGGAGAGACAGATAATAAGCCTCTAAATACATGATTTTAAGTACTCAGACTTCTACAAAGAAACCTGAAGCATGGCGAGGAGAAACTGAGCAATCGGGGGGCTGCTTTGTTGTAGATCAGGTAGTCCGGGAGGCCTCTCGTGGGTGGTGATATCTGGTCAGAGAACTGAAGGAAGTGAAGAAGTGGGGCATGAAAAGGCCCAGGGTAGAGCATTCCAGGCAGAACAGGCGGCCAGTGCAAGGCTGCTGAGGGGAGGACAAGCTCAGAAAGCTGTTGAAACATCCAGATGGCCAACGTGGCCCTGTGGAGGGGGTGTGGTTGGCCAGCCCAAGCCAGGCCAGGGAAGGGCTTTGAGGTGTGTAGACAATGCTGTATTTATTTCAGGGATGAAGGGAGAGGCTTTGGAAAGAGAAGTGATGTGATCTACTTTATATTTTGAGGAGATCCCTTGGCTACTGGGTGGAAATTCGGCTGTGAGTTGGCAGATTATCGAAATAATCCAGGCTAAAAAAAGAACTCAGCTTGAAAAAAAGTAAAAGTGGAAGAAATGGTCGGATTCTTAAAGTAGCATCAATACACATGCTGGCGGTTTGAAAAATAAGATGTGAAGGACAGAGAGGAATGAAGGATGACTCTGAGATTTCGGTTCTGTGCAGTGAGTGACTAGCGATGCTCAATTTGAATAACCAAAATGTGAGATAGAAGTGGGTACAGGGAGAAAAATCCAGAAGTTCTGCTTTAGAGAGATTAAATTTTGAGATGCCTGTGAGTTTTGTAAAAGGATGTTGAGTAGGCAGTTGGATTTCAGGTCCTGGATCTGAGCTCAAAGGAGAAATCGCAGCTAGAATGTAGAAGTCATCAGCATATTGAGGGCATTTAACACCACAACCTAAATTAAATCACATAGAGAATAAGTATAGAAAGGAAGGGAAGTAAAACGAGGCAGGGAGGAAAGGAGAGACGAAGAGAGGGACAAGAATTAATCCCTGGAGTGGTTGCAATATTTAGAATCTGATTTGAGGGAAGAAGTTTGCCAAAGACACTGAGAAGGAGAAGTCTCAGCCTCCCAAGTAACTGGGACTACAGGCACATCCCACCACACCAGCTAATTTTTGTAGTTTTTAAGTATAGACAGAGTTTCACCACGTTGGCCAGGCTGGTCTTGAACTTCTGACCTCAGGTGATCCACCCACCTCGGCCTCGCAAATTGCTGGGATTACAGGTGTGAGCTACCATGCCCGGCCACCCTGCCCTCTTGTTACTACAAGGCCTATTTCCCACAGCTCCTGCTAGTTCCCTCCGTATGGCCTGCCCTGTCATCCTCCCCTGGGCTGTGGGAATACTTGAATGAAACACTGCTGTCAATTTCATCTGCCCAGGGTCATGTATTTAACCACCCCTATAACTGACTCCCCCCTCATCAGTAGGGTACAAGGGAGGCAATGAAAACAGGAGTGGACACTGATTGCATGAAAAATTGAGTGTGTGGATATGTGTTGGAAGGCACGGAATAGTCCAAGTATTCACTTGATTCTTCTGGTTTCTCGGTAAATCATGTGAGGTTATTGACTCAGAGTCTGGGAAAGGAAGAAGAGTTTGAGGTTTGGGGAGGTGAGAAAGGTATGAAGTAGTCTTCTCACAGACACAGAAAGTAACTAGGGTGGTGAGGTGAGGTTGAGGGCACAGCTAAGAGCCCACTCGAGGTTTGTGGTCGTGCATAATGAGACCAATCAGAGCATAGTGTGTGTGCAGACAGGGCTCCTTGGTTGAGTGCAGCTGCTCTGATGCAGTGGCAGATAGGCTGAGTGGTTTAATCAGGGAATCATCAAGTCTACAGTCTCTGAGACATGGGAATTCAGAGTGGGTGTGAGCACCTGGTGAAACAGGTCGGAGGAAAAGCAAGTCAGAAAGAAAGCAGGTGACAATGTCAGCTGTCAGGTTATGTATAGATATGTTATGGTATCAGGATCACTACAGCAGGTTGTGGTCACCTAGTGCTGTCTGCTGGAATTTGGAGCATTTAATTTTTTTATCCAAATACCATAGAAATTGATGTGGAAAGATGTGTGACACATGCCGCATGTTGGGAAGTGGTGGTGACCAGGTGCTTAGTCGCATGGAGAGGCCATGAGTGCTTGGCAATGTTTTGGTGACTGAGCCTCTCTCTCCTCTCAGGAATGAGCTGAGATTCCAGAAATGCCGGGATGAAAACAACCCAACCCTAAGACTCCCAAATTGTTCCCATATTGCCACATTTTCCCAGCATCTTCCTTCAGAGGAACTTAAGAAAGCCACGTTTGCTATCTGGCTCCTTTTAACTCTCCACATAACTTATAGTTCCAGTTTCCCAGATAAGCACGGCCATTTGTGTTAGGTCATTCTTGCATTGCTATTAAGAAATACCAGAGACTGGGTAATGTATAAAGAAAAGAGCCTTCATTGGCTTACAGTTCTACAGGCTTTACAGGAAGTCCGGTGCTGGCATCTGCTCAGCTTCTAGGGAGGCCTCAGGAAGCTTACACTCATGGGGAAAGGTGAGAGGGAAGCAGGCAGATCACATGGTTAAAGCAGGGGCAAGAGAGAGAGAGAGTAGGTGGGGGAGGCAACACACACTTTAAGATGGCCAGATCTTGTGAGAACTCCCTATCATGAAGACAACGAAGACAGTGCCAAACCGTGAGGGATCCCTCGTGAGGGATGACACCAGGCCATGATCTAAACACCTCCTGCCAGGCCCCACCTCCAGCACTGGGGGTTACAATTCGACATGAGATTTGAGCAGGGAAAAATATCCAAACTATATCACCACTCTAAATAGTATGTGTACTCAGAAACCAGCTGACCTATCTGGGGCTCAGTCATCCAGGAAGACAGCCTGGAAGTCAAGTGCAAGGATTCTGGAGTTAGACTGCTTGGGTTCAAATCCTGCCTCCACCCCTGGCTGGATATATGCCTTCTTTAGGAAAGACAGTCACCTTTGTAAGCCTTGAATTTCCGCGAGTGTGAAGTGGAAATAGTACCAATAAGCACCTCAAAGGCTTGTCTGACGATGAAAGGAATGGTAAAATAAAGCACATAGCACAGTTCCTGGCACACCAGAAGAGCTCAATCAATATTAGCAATTATTGTAAATAGGTTCATTCACCACTCCATAAAACAGCGATTTTATCAGTATCATCACAGCTGTGAACCTCAGGTTGCTTAGGCAGCAGACAGGAACTCAAATATCTTTAAATTTCTCTGCAGTCAGACCCTCCATGGGACCCCTGGACAAGGGTTTGTGAGGTGTCTCATTGGACAGGATGAAGGCAACCTTCACAACAGCGGTCCAATTGGTGGATCCAGGCTGTGGCTTCATTAGAACAGCCTTCCAACCAGCACCATGCAGTGTATATCCTGCAGAGGGGCCACCCAGGCAATAAACTGAGTTCTACCACCTTGCAGCCAGCCGCTGAGGGAAGCATGGGTGTTCAAGCTCTGAGCTCTGAGAACTTGAGAGCTCCTAAGTGCAGGAGTTCTGGAATTAGATTGCCCAGGTTCAAATCCTGCCTCCACCACTGGCTGGGTGTATGCCTTCTTTAGGAAAGGCATTCACTTTTATAAGCCTTGAATTTCCACAAGTTTAAAGTGGAAAAATACCAATTATTATTTTCATCACATTTGGACAAGGGACACATTCCATGGAAAGCAAATTTCCTTTCTCAGAAGACATATATCACATATGAATAGCTGGCTTGAACCTTCACTCAGTGTGAGAGAGCAATAAGAATGTCACCATAGCATGACACACACTTGCACACACACACAGACACACACAGGCATATCTCGTTCTTATTTATTACAAGAGCTTTCAGTCAAGCTGAATACATGAGAACATCTAGGTAGTATTTTCTAAACTCTTCAAGACGCATGTCCTGTGGACACTTCCAGTAAAAAATAATTCAGCTTCAATAAGATTTAAGCTCTTATTAACAAACATAATTTAGGTCTTTTTTCAGAAAAGCTCTAACAGATACAAAACTCACAATTTCAGCCTCCAATTAGCAATTTCAAAAAAAAATTTTGATTCTGATATTTTGGAATTGAGAAAATTGGTAGTCAGTTCAGGACAAATGAAATATAGTGTACGTAAAGACAGACGCATGATTTAAACCTGAGAGTTGGGGAAGGATTCTATCCTGCAATACGAATGTAATATAACTGTCATCTGGTCTCCAATTTTACTCTTGCCAACAGAATGCAATCTCATGAAATAGCTGCACCTCTGAAGTGGGTAAAAGTTAATTAACCTGTCTCTTACTAACCTAACTTAAGTAAGTGGACTGGCTGACACGGAAAAGTAAATGAATTTCTCACATTTATACACCGATTTTTAAAAATCAATCTTTCACTTTCCCAAAATAACTCTTTAAAGAAAATTTAACATAATCATTTTCAGCTTGAAAACTTCAAATGAATGAATGGGGGCTTTATTGGGGAGAAGATTTGAAGACTGTGACACGATACAACCTGGGCTCGAAGTGCTATTCTCAGATCACAGTTGCTACCCGACCAGGGTCTGAGGGTCAGCATCTCCAAACCCTGGCTTCACAATCTGCAAAACTGAAATCAAAAACACTTACACATTTGACTGAGAGCGAACAGAGGCGTAGGCCTCATTCTGCCATTCGACAATTGTGTGACCGAGAGCACATGGTCTGACCCTGCCTTCTCGGCAATGGTGATAGTAACAATGCTCACATCTAGTAATAAATCATAAATGTGAGCCATTGTTATCGTGATCATTGCTGTTGTAGCTGATAAACATAGCTAGTGCGAATCACATGGTAACTCAAGCATCCACACACTTTAGATGCCCCACACGTACGAGTTTCCTTTTACCCTTAGCCTTTTTTAGGGGAATAATTACAAGGAAGATTTCTTTCTTCAAAGAAAACCAAGAGATTTTAATTTCTATGAAGGAGATTACACAATATTTGAAGGGGTATGTGAAATCTATGCAGATATGTACTCTCTATGTGAGTAATTCTTGTGGCCCATGGGTTCTTAGGATGAGGGAAGCCAGAATGGTGATATGTGGTATCATCGTGGGGCCTGCTCTTGAATGCAAGAGGATATGAGTTCCAGCCAGATGAAAGCACATGCATATTTTGATTAAAAAAACTGCACACATGCTACATGTTCATATTTCTTGTATCCAGACTGCCCCATTATGCTAATATAAAGGGAGAGACAGTGATAAGGTGCTAGGAAAAATTCAATCATTGCTAACCTCATCAAACTACACAATGAGCCACGGGAATCTGCAGCCTTAGTGTGGAAACCCATCAACAACAACACCACCATCAGTATTTTCTACTCACATTCTCTCCTATGCATTCCCAATCTTCTTACATTAGGAAGTGTTTTGCCAACATTTTAAGTCAACAAACCTCAAAATCACCCAGTCTAAAGTACACGGCATAGGAAAGCAAACTTAAGCCATGTTATTAGAAAACAAAACTAAATGATGGGATACCTTTTTTGGGAAATATATACTTGAAATAAACAGAGAGCCTTCCTCACAGGGCCACCACATACACAAGAGGCAGATCTTTGGGCAACACTCTGAAGGGAAAGGAAGGCAAAGGGTGAAACGTCTCCCAGAGTAAAAGACTGCATGGACTTTGGGGCCTCTACAGCTGTCTCTGCACACAGACGCTCTCCCCTTTTCAAGCGTTTCTCCACATCTAATATCTTCAAATCGTTAGTGCTTTCTAACTAGGGTTTCAATATTTCCCAAAGGCCTCTCCAGTCTAGACTTTGCCTGAGAGAACAGGTTACAAAAATATCCCCTCTCCCTTTTACCAGGCAACAAAGAGAATTTGCAGTGCTTTGAAAACAGAAATCCACATCCACGTAAAAAACAGGCCTCCGCCAGCCGCAAAGGGTGCTTCGGGCACAGGGCAGCCAGGCGAGAGAAAATGCATTCAGAGCGGTTAGCACACAGGATTAATCACATTATAATTTAATCATCTGATCAAACACTAATTAGCATAATTGCTTGAGGGAGAAAAGGCTGGAGGAACCCAGGAACACCCCTAGCATCCTTGTTCTAAATGACAAAAGAGGGAACACAGATTTGGCTTCCCTTTCTTCATAAAAAAAGGAAGAAAATAGCAAATAAGATTAATCAATGACAAGCGTCACCTTTGGAATTGCAACTGATATTCATGACATTTGCCTTCCTCCTCTCTCTCCAGAACCACTCTAAAATCCAAGGAAAAAACATAGTACTGATGTTACCGTAACGAGGCTCTGAGCTATTTAAATCAGGGTTCTCAACTTTGGCACGATTAATACGTGGAACTGGATAATTATTCGTCATGGGAAGCTGTCCTGTGCATTGCAGGGTGTTGAGCATCTTACAGTGAGTGTCCCCTCCAGATGCCAGGAGCAACCCCAACCAGAGGTGTGAAAACTGAAAATGTCTCTAGACATTTCTCACTGCCCCCTGTGGGGGCAAAATTGCCCTCGGTTAAGAACCACTGAAGAACACGATTTGTCCGACGCATACTTCTCTTAAAAGTAATCAAGTCATAAAAATAGAAGGAGGACTCTTTATTCCCATGTGCCAAAAAATAATGAGCTTAAAATAATAGTTGCCCAGTTCCATGGATTTATCTTATTTCTCATGGCTCTGTCTAGAGCTTTATAATAACCTTTAATGCCTATGCCTGTGTACTTCAGAAAAAAAATAATTAAATACCAGCCTCCTCCATTCAGAGATCCTTAGGGAGACACTTCCAGGAGCACCTTTGAATGGGGACACTCACAGGCTGAAAGAAGAGTAACCCTTGCTTCCAGACTTCAGTGTGCCCTAAGCAGGCAAGAGATCACAGCAATGTCTTCCACTACTCATGAGAGAGCAAATCACCAGTGACTTTGGAAATGAATAAATCCAAAGAAGGTCTGCAGACCCCCTGGGGAAATACAGTTTTCTCCCTCCACTCTCACTGAGCACACATAAGCCCTGATATTCCAGTTTCTAAAGAGAAAGAGAAAGGTAAACGTGCTGGAGAAAGACAAAATGCAGACCGCTCCTCCATATCTTGCAAATAGATCTCCACTACAATCGATTCATTGCACAACCTTAACCTGCCTTGGCCACTAGTCAGGCTGGACCTAATAATATTCACTCTTCTCAAAAGACGCTAGAAATCCCAGGGAAAAATACTCAACACTTAGTACTGTATGAGAGAAATATTTTCTATGTGTTAAGCTGATTTGTTCCAATAATAATACTAAGTCACACTATTTCTCATTTTTATTTTTTTATAAAGTGTTTCACCATTTACAATTACTCATGAGTCTAATGCAGGTTATTAAACCTGATGATGGAAATATGTACGCCCTTTCCGTGGCGGAGAGATGGGAAAAGATTGACCTACTCTACTACAAAATTTAAAAGAGAACAGTCTGTGCTATACCATGTAGGTTGTGAAAACTCCAAATCAGAGAGGAATTGTGAGCTATTTTAAACTGAAATCTTCTCTACAATTCCCCTGTCAGAGCTTGTGACTTCTTAATATAATGCCCCCACCCCCTTTTAAAGGAACATGAATATAGGAAACTATTACTGCAAAGAAACAGTCTACCCTAATTCCTGTAGTGATGAGTAAGCAGAATTCATTTATTCAGCCTACAGTAGCTTTTATACCGTTTTCTTCTAAAGCTAAATTTCAAAACAGCCACTCAAAAAGGTAATTTCTGTAGTGAATCACAATAAAATCACCAAAGGATTATAACATCGAACTTGTTTAAGATGCCTAGGAGGGAAAGTTATTTTTAATATTATCTAAAATAAGATCTCAGGACAGAAAAAGATATTTTTAAGGTTCTGAATTTAGGCCTCTCTCCAGCACACATTTGAGTCTATTTTAGAGCAAAAATCAAGGGCACAATGTTTTGAAAAAATTAATCTGCCACCAATAACTGCCCTCAATTTTGTCATATATGTAACAAGGTCTAAAATGCACATATGCCCTTATATGCCAGTTTCTCTCTTTTTCTGACAACTTAGCATAATGACATATGCTTTGTATGATAAATACAGTCAGCCTGTGATTATTTACCTAAAAGAAAGCCAAGAAAATCCAACAGAGCAAATAACCCAAAGTCCTTGATCTGGCTCTGGAACAAACCTGTGCCCTGGTCAAAGGCATGTACAGCAACCCAGGGCAGCATCAAAGCAACACCTCTAGCTGCAAACAGATCCGCGCTCTGGCCCTGTCTCACTGCATCCTAGCTCATCCCTTAAGCTTGCTCAAAAGAGTCACCAGATGGCTTCCCACTGTGGATCTCCCACTTGGAGCCTCATGGTTACATGTAGGTTTCAAAGGGCTTCTCTGCTAGGACTCCAGCTGCTATCGAAGAAAGAGCCAATATGAGAAATACAACAGAATCAAGACCACAAACAAAGTGCAAGCATTTATAAACCTGAATATCAAATGTGCTAAAACAAGAAGAAAACATGGCACAGAGAGATAGATATTAATACATGTGGATGATTCGTAAGCTGCCAGCATCCACATTGGGAGTGCCCCTGGCAGGATCACATACCCCTCTTCTCAGAGTCTTTCTTGCTACGAAGCCCCAGCACCAATTCTCCCTAAACCTGCCCAGGTCCTTATGGTGGTCAGTAAAGCTCTAACCTGTATATGCACATTTCCAATAAATTACTGCCCAACACAGAGTTCTCCAACAGTGCATGGAGATGAACTTGGAACTTTACTCGGTCAACTTCTTCGCTAGTGTTCAGGCAACCTCTTTGCAAGTGTGTGTTTTGCAAAGGTGGATTATGGTTCATGTGGATCGGAACAGGCAAAGGCATATGTTACTAATGCAAACTCATGGGTGTGCATCCAGCAAGGCTACAGAAGCAGACTCTCTGGTACAAATCAGACTCTCTGGTGCAGAAGCAGACTCTCTGGTACAGAATCAGACGACTCTCTGGTGCAGAATCGGACTCTCTGGTGCAGAATCGGACTCTCTGATTATCAGACCTAAGACTGCGTAACAAACATGCAAACTATGACTAGGGAGACCCCAGTGGTGGTGGGGAAAAAGATGACAAAGGCACATGCGATTAGAAACACCTGGGGAGGTTTTCAAACTACAGCTCATTCCCCAGAATGCTGGCAATAGAATTTCCAACAGGAGGCTGATGCGAGGAAATTTACTTCAGGAAACTTCCATATCTTCTTTCTCTGTTCTCCCTGACCCAGAACACCAGAGTATTGAGAACCAGTGTCCTTGATCCTTACCTGGAAATGCCCAGACAGAGGGATACTAACTAACATCCAGCTTGAAGTGTCAACAGTCTGTGACCTTCTTCTTATCCAGATGTAGGGGTGGAGGGTGGCACTGGTGCAGCCCCTTCCTCCATATTCAGTCTTCCCGTAAACATTTGCCTCCACTGCCTCCACGCATCTCGTCCTACAGAAGCCTACAGCATATTCTGATACCCCCATCCTCAGCAATGGGGTGGTATAGGTGTGGGGGAGAATGTGGGGCCTCTCATGCCTGTGAATAGTAAAGGCTGATGATGTGAGATCCTCCAAGACACAAATAAACCAACCGCTGATGAGAATTCCTTACCCAAAACAAACACCTAGATCACCCTGAGGTCAAAATGTAATAGCTATTGATCTGGGTGAGTTGTAGTAGGTACACACACACACACACACACACACACACACACACACACCTGGTAATTAACCATCCTACCCACATTCTGCTGTCCTGTCAAGACCCCAGACAGAGGCTGCGAACTTAGGCTGCCAACTTAAACAACTTGTCCCTAAGACACCATTGCACATTTCTTGTGCATTTCCTTTTCACTAGCCAACTAAATAGACAAATGACTAGCCTTTGCAGGAACTGACAAGAGCTAGGTCCAGCAGGAGCGGTGAAGTAGCCACGCGCCTTCCCTGCGGAGCTGCGTTATGACGCCTTCCCTATGGCGCCTGTTTTGCTGGTAGAGGCCACTGTTAGCATTGTTGGGCGTATTCAGCTCATTCCTAAAGTCTCACAAGTAATATTCCAAAGCATTGTTATTTCTACCCTGCCAGCTACATACCAGTTATTAAAAATGCTCTACAGCCAAGATTAAAAAATAAACAGGGCAATTAAGCAGACTGGGACTCGGGTTTTCTTTATCTCTGTGGAAGCCAAGATCAAATGACACCATAGTGGTGCTACTATGAAAAGAATTGAATCTTGAGTTTCTTTTGTGAGAAAGTGTGTGTCCTCAAAGTAAAAAGTTTCCTTATTATATAGGAAATACAGCTCATTTTTTTTTGTATTTTAAAAAAAGAAAAAAATTAAAATACACA